GCCTTATGACACACTTCCGGTGATGTCAGGGGGTGTGGCCTTATGACACACTTCCGGTGATGTCAGGGGGTGTGGCATATGCTAATGAGTTCCCCTAGCTCTTTTTCTACAAAACGACCCCTGTAGATCAGATGTTAACTAAGAGAACCTGGAGGGCTCAGTTGTGATCTCACCAGGGTGTACATGCACTGAAGGAACTTCTACTTGCTCTCATGTGCAGGTAACATGATCTACCACTTGTAAAGTGGGCCGTTCTTGGTATCCATGTATTGCAGTTGGGCCAGTCTAAAAAGGGAGATGTCCATCTAAGGTGACCTAGTGAGTTACATCAGTAATAGAGAGCTAAAAAATATATGAAGATCTACCCCAAAAGATACCTGGCAGAGGTCCTTCCCACCAGGACAGCTTGAGAACACAGGATCTATAGAAACAAACTGGTAGTTCATGAAAAGTATAGCTCATGTCCATTAAAATAATTTGGAGCTTTTCTGCTTATTCCACATGGTTACAACTTTTTTTGTAGAAAAAGCCCAGCAGGAACTCATTAGCATAATAGCCCACATCCAAAACCAGTAATTCATTAGCATATTAGCCACACCCCTGACATCACAACTCATTAGCATATTAGTCCACACCCCCGTGTCACCACATCCACCTTTTGCTTCTCATTCTGTTTACTTTGTTGTCAAAACCCAGGGCCTTTTTTTGTAGCAGGAACTTCTTTGCATGTTAGGCCACACACCCCTAATGTAGCCAATCCTAATGAGTTTCTGCTGTTAGGTGTGGTCTATTATGCTAATGAATTCCTGCTGGGCGTGGTCAACTCAGAAGCCAGCCGGAACTTTGTTCCTGTGCGTTCCTGCCCCAAAATAGCCCTGCTTCCCACACACACACACACACACCCCAGACAAAAAAGAAAGGCACCGTGAACATTCAGTGAATATAGAGCATTCAATTGGTGAAATATTTTGAAATAACTCTACTTCGTATACATGCTAGGGTTGCCAACCTCCTGGTAGGGGCTACAAATCTCCTACAGATGTTAGGAGGGAATGGCTGCTTTGGAGGGTAGACTCTATGGCATTATACCCCACTCTGCTCCCCAGGCGCCACAACCAAATCTCCAGGAATTTCCCAAATCACATTTGGCAACCCTAGTACATGCCCATTTTTTTAAATGAGCTCTCTATTGGCTCCTATGTCCTGTGTCAGATTATGTATATAGTAGCAAACTAATAAGGATAATACATTTCTCCTGCAGAAATAGAGTTCCGAAATAATACCTTTTCCAATTGTTGGATTCCTTCTTCCACGCAGCATATAGATGCCAACGTCCTTAGCACCTGGGGGTAAAGGCACCTGAAGCAATCCTGGCGGCAGATCTTAAACAGAGCAACAATGCCGCCCTCCTGCAGAAAAATTTCCATGGAAAGGGAAAGCACACAATAAATGATATTATCCAGCGGTGTGGTGTTAGGCATTCATTATTGGTTTAAGCTTTATTTTTGATCACTCCTCTTTTAATAAACTCTTCTAAGTACTTTTCACCTTGACAGAAATAAAGACATATTAAGAGCAAATCAAATGTATTGGTTTTTTAACGTGAGTGCTAGAGATGAGACCAAATTTTGCACAGTTTCTTATTCCATTTGACTATGCACCTTTTAATTTCATTTCTCCCTTGTGAAAAATGGAGTCGTGTCCCACATCACTTTCAGTTTACTTATGGTGATTTTTTCCTATTAAAATGTACATACAAAAAGTAGTAATTACTACTGAGTAAAACATAGAAGAATAAAACTCTATATGTTTTGTGGAACACTAAAGGAGAGCAGCTTCATTGGGCAATAAGATTTTGTGGGCAACAGACCTTTTTGTCAAATACATGCCAGTTCTCCTTCATTGGAAGATCTTAGACATACAGTCTTGTTTCTGCTTTGCTGAAAATATGGCAATCGGTATTTCTCAAAAAAAGAAATACAATGGTGCCTTAAAGCAGTCCCCCCCCCTCCAACTTTTTAAAATCTATGAGCACCTTTTGGAATTCTGATACATGCTGTTGGGTACACCCAGGGGTCATTTTCTGCAGGAGCCCACAGGGGGTGGGCACATGCAACAAGCTCCCTGCTCCCAGCAGCCCTCAGTCAGAGCAAGAAGTAGCCAGGTAAGTTGCAGAGCCCGCCCCCCGGCCCAAAACAGTCCAGTGGCACTTTTAAGACCAAGTTTTATTCAGGTACAAGCTCTCCCTCCTCTGTGAGGACAGATCTGCACGTTCCCCCCCCCCAATAGCTAGCAATCCAAAACAGTCCAGTGGAGCCTGAGCTGTGGGTGTTGCCTTCTGACACACTTCTGGTGATGTCAGGGGGTGTGGCATATGCAAATAATATACGCTAATGAGTTATGCTAATGAGCTCCTGCACCTCTTTTTCTACGAAATGACCCCTGGGTACACCCACAAAATAACTATGGCAGGAGGCAGTGCTAATCACAAAATGCCTCCTGCACGAGATACAGCCAGCTGCATAATGTCAGGGAGTGAGGTTCTGCAGAAGTCTAATAGTAACTCTTCAACGTATGAGGCGGAAACTCTTGTTTAACAGGATGCCTTTAAAAATAAAAGTCTTGTTTAGGAATATTTTCATGCTTACACACATCTTACCTACAGTCGTATAGTGAAGATTTTTGTAATGGGGTGGCAGCTGCTGCCAAATTATTTTTTTTTAACAATTTGCACAGCCAATCAGATCTCCAGGAAAGGTGTTGACAAGCACCATGGCACTCACGGGCACTATGCCGGCGATCCCTGCCTTAAAGACCAACAGGTGCCATAACCTCTGAAATTCATCAGCATGCCCTATGGTTATACTTGCACGTAATAGTGCATAAGATCACCATTCAAGTGATTTTGCAGTTTAATGAAATTATCTTTTCCCCTGTCTTGTTTTCATTACACAGCAATAAGGTGATTCAAATAGCTTTACTGGAATAGGAAGAGCCAAGCTAAAGTTCCATTGATTTCTAGGATGAAAAGGCTATCATGCTCAAAGCTGCTTATTGTTGAACAGCCCAATGAAGACAATTGGGCTAATCCAGACTGACTGCTATCAAAATTTAGTTTGGTTCTATACAGAAGGGGGAAAAAACCATTTAAGGTTAGCATCACTTTAGGAGAGGGGGGGGAAGTTACTATTTGTATGTAGAATATACTTTAAGTAAACTTTTATATAAAAGAGACATTTTACCCTTACATAGGAATTTTATTTACCATGGCAGTTAATAAAAGCTATATGCATTATCCCAGAACAATTTTTTTTAAACCCCCGAAGGGGTATTTTTATTGTTTTTCAATAGACTACAAAACTACAAAGAAAAAAATGGGAAGGGACTACATCTATGGATAAAGGAAAGATACCCACACTAACTAAAAACCCAAGAGTGAGAGATCATATCCCAGTTAAACTAAATGTTAGTATTACATTTGTTAATAAGGCAATATACTTGTAGAGTTCTTGCTTTGCACTGCTTCTATGTTAGTAAATTAGTTATCTTGAGAAGACTTTCTGAGCATCTTCATTTCTTCAAAGAGCAATTTTCAGAGTCCTTCTGCCCTTACTTTGGCTTTCTGTCTCTAAAATCATACACAGTTTTCGTCACACCCATAGCCGCTTCAGCCGCAGAGTCCTCGTCCGATCCAGAGGTTGC